TGGGCATTGTCCCTTAGTTTTATCCACTCAAGGCTAGCTCTTTACCATTTGAGCCATATCTCCACTGGGCTTTATTTATTTTTTTTTTTGGTCAGTTTTGAGGCTTGAACTCAGGGCCTGGGCACTGTCCCCGAGCCTCACTGTGCTTAAGACTAGCACTCTACCACTTGAGCCACTGTACTACTTCTGGTTTTTGAGTGGTTAATTAAACAAGAGTCTGACAGGGACTTTTCTGCCCAGACTGGCTTCAAACCGGGATGCTCAGATCTCAGCCTCCAGAGTAGCTAGGATTACAGGGGTGAGCCATGGGCACCCAGCTCCACTGGGCTTTTTAAGAGCTAACTGGAGGTAGGAGTCTCAGGTACTTAGCTACATGACCCAACTTCAAATTCAGATTTGAATTTGAGTAACTAGGACTACAGTCAAGAGTTACTGGCCTCCAGCTCTCAGAATGTTTTTAAATGTATAGGAAAAAATACATTAACAAATCAATTATATTAGTTAAAATATTTTTAGGGCTTGTGATTTGGCTCAATGGTATAGTGCTTGCTTAGCATGCACAAAGCCTAGGTTGGATTTACATACCTACACACAAAAATTGTTGGGGGGGAATGGGCTGGGAAGGTAGCTCAGTGGTAGAGCGCTTGCCTTGCATGCATGAGGCCCTGGGTTCGATTCCTCAGCACCACATAAGCAAAAAGAAAAAAGCCGGAAGTGGCGCTGTGGCCCAAGTGGTAGAGCGCTAGCCTTGAGCTGAAGAGCAGAGGGACAGCACCTAGGACCAGAGTTCAAGCCCCACAACCAGACCCCAAAAAAAAATTGTTGGGGGGAAAGAGGCGCAGGAGTTGGTGCTGGTCCTGAGGCTTGAACTCAGGGCTTCTGGGTGTTGTCCCTGAGCTTCTTTTGCTCAAAGTTAGTATTCTACCACTTGAGCCACAGCTCAACTTCCAGCTTTTTGGTGGTTAAATAAGAGTCTCACAGACTTTACTGCCTGGGCTGGCTTCAAATAGCAATCCTCAAATCTCAGCTTCCTGAGTAGCTAGGATTATAGGTTTGAGCCACCCACGCCAAGCGAGAATTTTGACTATTAACAAAAATAAGATCAAAATAACTCTTAACTATTCTAAGATTATGTGCCTTGTTGCTGTATTTCAATTAGAGATTAGTGAAAATAAAGCTCACATAACTTCCAAATTCTATCCATAGACCCGTAGGGTACATGAACTTCCGGTGAAGAACTCCTGAAATTCAGAAAAGGGAAGTATTTCTATATGATGTATTTTGCAAGACTATTTGGCAGCAATGATAAAAGCTAGTTAAAAGTGAAGCTAGGGAGAGACTGAGGGAAAACATGACATTGTCCAAAAAGAAACGTACTCATTACCTGAGTTATGTAACTGCAACCTCTCTGAATGTTACCTTTAAAATAAAAAAAATTAAAATTTAAAAAGTTAAGCTATCTCCAAAACTTGTCATATAAAGTTTTCTAAGCTTCAGAGCAGCTGTTTTTAAAAATTAATATTACATCTATTTAGGACTATTAAAAAGCAGGAAGGGCTAAGTGCCAGAGGCTTACAACTATAATCCTAGCTACTCAAGAAGCTGAGAGCTGATGGTCAGATTTGGAAGCCAGACCCAGCAGAAAAGTCCCCGTATGAGATTTTATCTCCGAATTATCACTTTAAAAAAGAAAAAAAGCATAAGTAGAGCTGTGGCTCAAAGTGATAGTGATAGAGTGCTAGTCTTGAGCAAAAAGAGCTCAGGGACAGCACCAAGGCCCTGAGTTCAAGCCCCAGGACTGACAGAAAAAAAAAAGAAGCGGCAGCAGCAAGAGGGTCTGGGTGCTGGTGGCTTATGCCTGTAATCCTAGCTACTCAGAAGGCTGAGATCTGATAATCAAGGTTTGAAGCCAGGCAGGGCAGGAAAGTCCTTGAGACTCCAATTAACCAACAAAAACCCAGAAGTGGAGGTGTGGCTCAAGTGGTTGAGCCCTAGCCTTGTGTGAAAAAGCTAAGGGAAAGAAGCCCTGATTTTAAGCCCCAGGAAGGGGGGAGCAAACACACAAAATAACTAGCATAAAAGAATGCTGGAGGATGGACCAGTGGACCAATGGTAAAATACCTGCCTGGCAAGAGAGGTCCTGAGTTCAAACCCCACTACCACATACACAAAAAAAGTTGTGATACCAGAAATAAAGATGTTTCTCCGTTTATTCACTTTGCCTTATTTTGTGCATATGTGTGTGTGTGAAAGAGTGGGGGGGGGGGATGATTTAAAATGGTTAAGGTAGACACATTATATAACTCTCATAAAAAGAAAGGACATAAACACATCTAAGCTCTTCATTTAAGCCCTTATGAGGTGATACCTCTGAATGGATACAGACTGAAGACAGGCAGAAACCAAAGAAATCAACACTAAGTCCACATTTCTTACAGCCAAATTCAGACAAGCATTGTCGTTTAGGACTTTTTAAATGGATTCAAGCATTTCTTAATGTACATATTTTGAATATAAAGTATTCTCATGTTTGCAAAGTATACTTAACTAACAATTTGGTAGGAAATTTTAAATTTCTATTTTACTACAGTTTCATATCCAAAGAGAATAGTGTTGAAAAACACATTAAATTTGATACACATAAAAATCTGATACATATAACTCATCAGGAGAAGAAAACAGATCCAGTGTCTAGTATGACAAATTACTAAGTTACTTTCAAAGTTCCATTTCAGTTTAGCATAAGTGACAGGGCAATGGACAGACAACTATTTCTAACTTCTGAAGTTGCCTCTTAATTCATTACACTGAGAATTCCCCACTTCATTAGAAATGTTGTATTTTGATAACAAATTCTTAATGTTTATAATAATAAACTAAACAAAGTTCAATTCTGAATCTTTCTCCCACCCTTCTTCTTTCCAAGAATCCAAAATAAAAACAAATCTCTTAGCAATAAAACCCTTTCTTACAGGCTTATGCACAGACTTTCTACTATAAAAATAGCAAGGTGTGGTGGCACACAACTGTAGTCCCAGCACTCAGGAGACCAGGGCAGGGGACAAGCTTTGGTTAGGAGCTGGAGATAAGTCTGGGCAACTTAGGGAGACTCATCTTGAAAAAGGAAGAAGAAATAAGAGAGAAGGGGAAGGGAAGAAGGAGAAGGGGAAGGGAAGAAAAAAAGAAAAGGAAATGATAATCCTGTATTTTCAAAGGCCTCTGGCAAACATACTAGTACAAAAATAGATAATAAATAAGCCATTAATTTATGTTTGTTTTTTGCCAGTCCTGGGGCTTGAACTCAGGGCCTGAGCACTGTCCCTGAGCTTATTTTGCTCAAGGCTAGCACCTTGCTACTTGAGCCTACAATGCCACTTCCAGCCTTTTCTGTTTATGTGGTACTGAAGAATCGAACCCAGGGGCTCATGCATGCTAGGCAAGCACTCTAACACTAAGCCACATTCCCAGCCCCATTAATTTACGTTGACTTGCTTAGGGATTATTATGTCTAAATTTAATGTTTTGAAATTAATAACCGCTCAATAGCTATAAAACAATTCAGGGATTAAGTAGAAAAGATCAAGAACTTTCTCAAACAAGGCTTCCTGCCCCAAAGAACACCAAACCATTTAATCCACCCATAGAAACATGACTATTCTTCAAGTCTACTAGAGTAAATTCAAGCATTAAGTTCAGTCATTACCTCTAGCACAGAAAATGGCTTGGCCTTGAAGGCCTTCAACAAATCGATGTCAAATAAATGGGTTAAAAGTATTGGTCACAGTCAAGTGTTTACAAATCAAGTTTCTGGACTTGGGACATCTTGTTGAAGACTAAATTCTCTCATATGACCTCCATTTAATACCTTCCTGTGTACTAAATAAACTGCCAAGATATACATTTAGTAAGCAATGAGGATTTCAAAGTGAACATAAGAACAATTAAGAAAACAAGTTGCTGTTAAAAAAAAAAATACCCAAGGGTCATAAACTGAGCAAACCACAGGAATTCATGTACAAGTTTGGGGTGTTAGAAGATCTAGATCTAGACACCAAAGTCTGATGGTCATAGATTTGGGGGAAGGGAGGGAAAAAAAAAAAAAAGGTTTCTTTTCCGGAATCTCCTGGCTGGAGTGACACTGTCACAGGTCCTGATAAGCAGAGTGGAAAGGCAAACAACAGCCACTTTGGCAGGACACCAGCTAGACTGTCAAGTTGGGGAGCTGGCAAACAACTGACGATCGGCCTGAGTATTTCAAAAAAAAAAAAAGGATTCCAGCGGTAGTTGGCCCACACACGCACCCCGGGTTTTTCCTGGGTGACTCCGACGCCACAAGTACCAGGAGCCCCGTTTGCGTCCCAGTGGTGGTAGACGGCCACACACAATGACAGTGACACTTCCAGTGTTGCGCGGCCTGTGTGTCCCGAGCCGGTCAGACACCCAAGAGGCTTAGGGTGGGTGGGTGGATGAGGGACCCCCCCCCTAAAGTGACAGCCACTTAGCTTAACTTTCCCAGGAGCGGCCCCCCTCCCCAACCTCTCCGACAGGCCCGACGGGTTACTCGGCCAGTCTCCCAAAGAAGTCGAGGCCCCAGGAAGCGCGGAGCCTTCCTGGGGGAGGAGGGGGGGAGATCTGTGGACACTTTTAACTTCGGGGGGCGGGGGGCGGGTGGAGGAAACCTTGAGCGCCTCTTGCAGACTCTCTACGAGGGGTGATCACATCCCTTGGCGCCAGATTCGGGAGGAAGGGGAGGCAGGTCAGCCCAGGCGCACGAGATCCGAAGGTGGCGGGGTGTCTCCCAATTTGGGGAACAACAGCTGCTTCGGGGGGATTGGCAGATCTCCATACCCTGAGGAAAGTGCGGGCTCCCCCATACTCCCGCCAGCCCCCGTCGGGCCGGACGCCTCCCATCCCACTGGGGGGGGGGGAGGATGGGGTCCCCCCCTCCCCGATCCCAACCCTCCAGGGCTGAGGGCTCAGGCCCGGGACTACGACGTTACCTCTCGGCGCGGAGGTGAACGAGGTGGTGAGCAGCCGGGCGGCCGCTGCCGCCGCCCCGCAGGTACAAGCACCGCAGCTGGGCATCTCCGCGCGGCCTAGGCCGGGGCTGCGCCCCCTGGCTGACTTCGGGGTGAGGGGGGGGGGTCTCAGCGGTCCGACTCGTGAGCGCGGACGGGGTTCCGGACTCTCCTCCCGCCGGCCCCCAGGCCGGTGCGTCGCTCACCAGCTAAGCAGCCGGACCCCTCGGGGCTAATGAGTCCCGCCGCCGTCAGCCTTCGGGATGGGAGGCCGCGCTACCTCCCCGCCCTCCTCTCCCCTCCCTCCTACCCCCCCTCCCCTCCCCCCGCCTACCGGGCCCCGCGAGCGAGCGAGCGTGCGCGCGCGTGCGTCCTAGGCCTACTCCCCCCCCCCGGAGAGGGCGTGGGCACGCGCCGCGCGTGCGTGCGTGCGTGCGTGAGGCGAGCGGAAAGAGGGGGCGGTCACCTGGGCACCAATGAGCGCGCTACGGCCAGCGGCGAGGCCAAACTGCCTCGGGACGCATTGTTGTTTTTTGGATCGCTTCTGTGGTTGCGACTTGGAAAGCAAAAGTTTTAGGCCCGGAGAGATGCATGCTGGGAGTTGTCTGGACCCAGCGCCAGTCCCTTAACTCTTCTTCCGATCGTTTTCAGTGGTGGCAAAGGAGTCAAAGCGAGGAAAGTGGTTTAGATGGTCTCAAAAAAGGTTGATTTTTTTTTGCTTTGTTTTTGCTTTTTAAAATATAATTTTATTATTGTTAAGATTTGTACAAGCCGGTCGCCGGTGGCTCACGCCTGTCATCCTAGCTACTCAGGAGGCTGAGATCTGAGGATCACGGTTCAAAGCCAGCCCGGGCAGGAAAGGCCAGGAGACTCTTATCTCCAATAAACCATCAGAAAACCCGAAGTGGTGCTATGGCTCAAGTGGTAGAGCGCTCGCCTTGAGCTGAAGAGCTGAGGGACAGCGCCCAGGCCCAGAGTTCAAGCCCCACGACCAACAACAACAACAACAAAATGTTGTACAAAGGTACAGAAGCTTTACCATTTCATAAGTCAGGTAATGAATACATTTTCTTTCCCTCACTTTCCCCTTCCTGTCCTTGCCCACAAGTTGCATGGTTCATTTTCCACATCATGTTTACTGAATACCAAGATGGGTTTTGGTTTTGGTTTTGTTTTTTGTGTGTGTGCTGCTCCTGGGGCTTGAACTCAGGGTCTGGGCGCTATCCCTTGAGTTTTCTTGCTCAAGGCTCATACCACAGCTCCACTTCTGTCTTTTTGGTGGTTAATTAGCGGTAAGTCTTACTATTGGTTGGCTTTGAAGCATGATCTTCAAATCTCACCCTCCTGAGTGGCTAGGATTTCAGGCAGGAGCCACCAGTGCCCAGCTCCGTATCTCCTTTTCATTGTGTGATTCTGAGTTTAAGAGATATTGAGGGGCTGGGAACGTGGCTTAGTGGTAGAGTGCTTGCCTAGCATGCATGATGCTCTGGATTCGATTCCTTGACACCACATAAACAGAAAAAGCTGAAAGTAGTTCTGTGACTCAAGTGGTAGAACCTCAAGGGATAGGTCTCAGGACCTGAGTTCAAACCCCAGGATTGAAAAAAAAAAAGTAAGATTTTTTAAATGTCCTATCCTCTGGAATAATTTTTAAAATATGGAAATTCTTCATGGGTGGGTCAAGATAGAATGTGTACAGGAGTCCTGAGGTTACCTGTGTTTTGGGTGGACCTCACATCTTACCCAATCTATTGTCTAAGGATTAGAAGAGTTGTTAGACTGACTAGACCATATGTATTTGCTGAGCTCAAAACATATACAAGCTACAAATAGGAACTCACATTTCCTAAATAGAGAGCAGAAAATACTTTTTCTGTTTCATTACTTTAGTATAATATATATTACCATTACATCAAAATTAATCCTTGCTAAGCTTTCCCCTTGTAAGACTCTCCTTTTTATGAGACACCCTGAAATATGCAGATCTTGGGGGGGGGCAGTCGTGGGGCCTGAACTCTGGGCCTGAGCGCTGTCCCTCAGCTCTTCAGCTCAAGGCTAGCGCTTTACCACTTGAGCTACAGCACCACTTCCGGCTGAGGAATCGAACCCCGGGCCTCAGGCATGCAAGGCAAGCGCTCTACCACTGAGCCATCTTCCCAGCCCTGCAGATCTTAATGACCTGTGATTTTTGTGTGCAAATGGGAAAGCTGTTCCTCCAATGACAGAATGCCGGATAGCTCCAGATAGCCTCAAACTTAAAATTGTCCTGCATAAGCCCCCAAGTGCTGGGATTACAGAAAAGTTCCTAAGACCCTTATCTCCAATTCACTACAAAAAAAAAAAAAAAATGCCAGAAGTAAAGCTGTGGCTCAAGTGTCAGAGCATCAGTCTGGAATGAAAAGCTTAGAGACAGCACCCAGACCCTGAGTTCAAGCCCTAGTACCCAAACACACACACATACACAAAAACTTATTTTTGCCGGGCGCTGGTGGCTCACGCCTGTAATCCTAGCTACTCAGGAGGCTGAGATCTGAGGATCGCGGTTCAAAGCCAGCCAGGGCAGGAGAGACCGTGAGACTCCTATCTCCAATAAACCACCAGAAAACCGGAAGTGGCGCTGTAGCTCAAGTGGTAGAGCACTCGCCTTGAGCTGAAGAGCTGAGGGACAGCGCCCAGGCTGAGAGTTCAAGCCCCACGGCCGACAAAAAAAAACAAAACTTATTTTTATCATAACTTGTTAAACAAGGTGTTTACATGTTCTGACTATTGCCCTTTGAGCCCTCCAGTTGACCTACTTCCTTTGGACAGGTTAAAGCAGACAGACTAGCTGTGCAAAGTTCAGGATAATGACAAATCAATGATTCATATTTGTCTTCCATCTAGGCAGTGCCAGACTAATAATTTGGCTTGTGTTGGAGTCTAATTAACTCTGAGTCCCAGATTACTTGTCAGGTGAGTATGAATGTCTTTGGTTCTGAGTTTGGGGGAGGGAGTCTGGAGAGAGTCAACCCAGATTGAATTCTAGGTCACACAAGTTACTGGCCATCCACAGTCTCCAACAAGAACTGTGATTTCTAGTGGTCTGCCTGTAAGAGCCACTAGCCTTGGATTACATCACATAGTTCTTTCTCTCTTGGGGAATTATACTTGGTACTTCTGAAGCTTAAAGTCACAGAGACCAAGCCAGGTACCAGTGGCTCACACCTGTAATCTTAGCTACTCAGCAGGCTAATATCTTATGATCGTGGTTCCAAGCCAGCCTCAGCAGGAAAGTCCATCAGACTCTGAACTCCAATTAACCACCAGAAAAACCAGATGTGCAGCTGTGGCTCAAAGTAGTTGAGTGGTATCCTTGAGCAAAAAGAGCTCAGAGACTGTGCCCAGGCCCAATCACCAGAATAGAAAGAATTTTTTTGCTTTTTTGTTTGTTTTTTGTAGGTCGGGGGCTTGAACTCTGGGCTTGGGTGCTGTCCCTGTGCTTTTCAGCTCAAGGTGAGCTCTCCACTGCTAGAGCCACAGCACCACTTCCGGTTTTTTAGTGGTTTATTGGAGGTAAGAGTCTCATGGACTTTCCTGTCTGGGCTGGCTTTGAACTGAGATCCTCAGATCTCAGCCTCCTGAGTAGCTAGGATTACAGGCATGAGCCACTGGTGCCTGGCAGAAAGAAATTTTGAGAACCGAGATTCCAAAGTTCACTGAATTCAATGTTTTCAAGAAGCTATTTCTTTTATTTGGTGGGGGGGTCCGGTCATGGGGCCTGAACTCTGGGCCTGGGCATTGTCCCTCAGCTCTTTAGCTCAAGGCTAGCGCTCTACCACTTGAGCCACAGCGCCACTTCTGACTTTTTTCTTTTTGCTTATGTGGTGCTGAGGAATCAAACCCAGGGCCTCAGACATGCAAGGCAAGCACTCTACCACTGAGCCACCTTCCCAGCCTCAAGAAGCTATTTCTAGAATCTCTCAGAAACTGTTAACTATGTGGCCCCAGTCAAAGAATCAAGATTGTGGGCCTCCTCTATCAATAAGCTGAAATGGTCACAGGGGTTCTAACTTCCAACTTAAGTTCTTTCCATCCCACCTCACCTTCTACTACAGATACATTTCCCTCTTATTATAGAAACAAAAGAGAGGTTAACATTTATATTTGCTATGAAATACGCTAAGTAAAAATATAGTCAGGTCATGCTCGCCAGAGACATCACAGCTCCAACAATCCTTCCCTTTGTTCTTTACACTTGATTTCATTCAATCAACAAACATTAATGAGCAGAAGTTACATGCCAGGGGGTGTGGGGAGTAATGAAGAAAGGAAAATGTTCTCTCATGGCACATCCATTCTAATGGGACAAGTATAAGAAGAAGAAAAAGATGTGCCAGTGATGTGCAGTGGTGTAGGGATAGTCTTTTTTTTTTTTTTTTTTCACTTGTGGGGTTTGAACTCTGGGCCTGGGCGCTGTCCCTCAGCTCCATAGCACCACTTCTGGTGTTCTAGTGGTTAATTGGAGATAAGAGTCTCACGGATTGTCCTGCCCGGGCTGGCTTTGAACCTTGATCCTCAGATCTCAGCCTCCTAAGTAGCTAGGATTACAGGCACAAACCACTGGCCCCCAGCAAATATCCTTATTTTTATGTAATATATCCCTCTGTGTCTGTGTGTGTTCAAACGCCAGTGTTTGAACTCAGGGCCTCATGCTGTCAGTTGGCTTTTTCACTCAAGGCTGGTGCTCTATCACTTGAGCCGCACCTCTACTTCTGTTTTTTTTGGTGATTGAATGAAGAGTCTTCTGGACTTTCCTTCCCTGGCTGACTCTGGACTGTGGTCCTCAGATCTCAGTCTCTTGACTTGCTAGGATTACAGGCATGAGCCACTGGAGCCAAGCTTTGTGGAAACATTAGACTTTTTTTCTTTTTCTTTTGTCAGTCATGGGGCTTGAACTCTGGGCTTGGGCACTGTCCCTTAGCTCTTCAGCTCAAGGCTAGCACTCTACCACTTGAGCCACAGCGCCACTTCCTGTTTTCTGAGTAGTTGATTGGAGCTAAGAGTCTCTCGAACTTTCCTGCCAAGGCTAGCTCTGAACCACAATCCTCAGATCTCTTCCTTCTGAGTAGCTAGGATTAAAGGCGTGAGCCACCATCGCCTGGCTGAAGAATTAGTCTTTAGGAACTATGTGGTTCTTTGACAATGGAGCATGGTACTGTGTTCCAAGTGAGCATTCCCTTACCTGAAATTCACAGGTTGGGACAGGTCCTTGTCCTAGAGTGTGGTTCAGTAGCCTTGAGAT